TTGCAAATTGTATATAATTCTCCAATAGCTGGCGGCCAAAGGCCACCCTGCTAATTGCAGTTGCCTAATAGCTAGATGCAAAACAATAGGAAATGCTGCAGTGCATAGTAGTTCTAACCAAAACGGGACCGCCAACCTTAGCAAGGGAGACCGGGGACCGCCAACGTTAGGAAAAAAAAAGAAGTGCTCCGCCGTGCCAAGCATGGAAAGTGACGGAGGAGGGTCCCAAAGCACAGAGTATTGGCATCGTTTTCCGTTCTTAAGCGTTTTTTTGGAAAGGGCTCGTCCGATCTATTTCAAGAGGGCTGTGTCCTGTAGAAAGGTGACAATATGTGACAAGTGCCTTCGCCGCTCCAAGCTTGGGCTGTTGATGTTCGTGAGCCCAACCAGAAGTCCTGCAAGCGTAAACGCCAGGGCGCGGGCCCCACCCCCACGAAGCTCATCACCTGGCTGTTGTCTCTGTTGGCTCTGCTGCTGCTGCCGGCTCAGTAGGGGAAGGGACAGAAAGTCGAATCTACTTTGAGGCAGCCCTGAGGCTTCACAAGTGGCTCGGGATCTCAAAGCCCGTCAGTAGTTAGGGCCTGCACGGGCCCAAAGGTGTGCACCCTTGAGATCCCAAGCCTCGTAAGGCCTGCCGTGGAGCCTTGGCTACGGCAAAGGCTACAGAGCCAGGCCAGCCGCTTCGCTCGGGGCTTCGTCTTCTCAGATGGATGCAGATACATCACAAGGTAAGGTCTCTGATTCACACTCCCGGGCATTCAAAGGACCATAAGCGGGCTTCAGCGAAGCCATCGTGGATGTCGGGAATGCGTTTGCAATGCTCATGAGTCTTACTTGTAGCCTAGCGCACAGCCATGCAAGCACGCAGGTCTCGCTTTTGAAGCGGCCGGCAAGACAGTTTTTTCAACATGGCTCCGCATTTGCACAACTGGCAAGTGCTGAGTATTGGTCCAAACCCCACATGACATACCAACAAACTGCTGAAACCTGCTTTCTTATTTTCACAATCTCAAGTCTACCGCTGGCCGCAGGACTTTGTGAAAACGCTGCTGAACGCGAATGGCTGAGTTTGATGATGGCATTTTGCATCCGAGACGATACCTGTGCGGTGACGGGAAACATCGATGCCCAGAGCAGTCTAGTCTAAGACTGCGCGATGCCTGGTTTCTGACAAACCTATATGAAGCGGACGTCTTGCATTCCCAGGCCGTTGTCAGCAAGCTCCTCACTGAGTCCGAACTGCCTGCGGAGGCCACAGTGTTCAGTGCTCACCGAAGTTGCAAGACAGTCAGGACACTTCATGGTGAGCTCAGATTTTTTGCAACATGCACTGGTGGACAGGAACCAGAAAACCTGGAAACGAGAGTTTTGAAGCCAGTGGACTGTTCTTATAGCACACCACACCCTTTTCTCCCCTGGTTTTTGAGGCTTGAGTACGGGAGTTGATCGTCAAGCGCAAGCAGCTTACAAGCGAGAGTGGACTCAGTGCTGATCCTAACCCGCAAGCCCTAAACCCTTAGCTAGTGTACAGCCTGAGCTGCAAGTCCTCGGACTGCGCAGAGGCCGTCATACTGAAGAGTGTGCAGCTGATACCGCTGTTGCCCATGGAGTCCTGGATTCAGCAGGCGGAACCCCGGAAGCTAAGCCGGGAAGCGATTTGGCACAAGCCTGCACGAATGTCATGTTGGTTTGTTTTAATCTGCGTGTCGGTTTAAGGAGGGATCTCCAGGCCACAAGCAAACTTGGATAGGGAGAGGGAGAGGTTGGCACCGAGACAGAAGCAGAGAAACGGATAGGCAGGAGCGCCAAGAAGAGAAGCAGGCGACACAAGACCACACCCAGCGAGGCAGCGACAGAGAGAGATGCTTTGTCCTCAGTTTCTGTTCTGCAACCTTCCAGTATTGCGACGAAATGCCGACCGGGGACAAGTGCCTCGAGCTCGCTTTTCTCTCTTTATTCCCTGAACAGTCATGAGGCGGACGGAGCCTCGGGTACACAGGGCGGGCGGGGGTTGGTTACTTTTAGACGGGGTCTTGTTACCTTCCTGAACTGTCCTCGCCTCAAGACCAGTGCATGCGTGCGGGGGGTGGGGGAGTTCCCACACTTGACTGCGTTGAAGAGATACTGGTACCTTCGGTTCGCGACTCCGGCCCCTGCATCGACAGATGAATAGCTGGTAGCAGGACGATTTAGCATTGGCCACATCGAGTTGCAATGGTTCGTGGTAGCTACAGATGCGACATGCCGCGACAGTCCCCGCACAGACTTATTTCATATTTCCGTGCAGAGATTCTGCGCAGGCATGCCTTGACAGTGGTGCCATTCACTCCTTCGCTTTGGCACGGCAGCGTGTCGTTGCAAAGAAAGGACTGCGGGATGGGTGTGTATCCTTGGGGCTTTCGACTTCGCGCACGGAAGCGAATGACAGGAGGAGAGCAGCTGGACCCCACACTGGCAAAGGCCCGGCTTTAGATTTGCAGACTGGGAGGCTGCGCGGAGGTGCTTTAGAGCAGATAGATTACAGGGTTCGCTAGGATTTTGAGGACCAAGGTTTTGCGCCCAACTTAATCCTTGAGCAGGCGGTGCAAAGTGCCATCCGCATGGTGCAGGGGCCTCAGGCATGCTGTAAGCGGTTCCAGCTCTGGTGTAGTCCAGGACTACAAGTACAAGCCGTTCCTCCAGGGGCAGGTTCCTGCTAACTGGGCTCTAGATCCTGAGCCGACTCTCCAGGTAGCAACCTCAAGCAATTCTGACCAGCAGAAGCCAGCAACTGTTCGCCGCTGAGCTTCAGGTTCAGCAACAACTTGGAGCTGTGCTCCTTTGCCCTCGGCGACTCTTTCGTTGGGGATACCTTCGTCTGTCTCGAGGCCTCGTGGGACCAGTGTTTCGGTTGCTGGAAAGCCCAAGCTAATTTTGTGAGATTCAAATTCCATGCGACCTTTGTCCTGGAAATCATTCAGTCAGTTTGTGGATTGAGCAAAATCGGAGGTCTCCGATATGTACCACGTTCCCTACCGGGATGCAAGCGAAGCACAATGGAAAAAATCTGCAATATCTTGCGTGGGTCGGACCCTGTCAAGATCCGACGAAAACGGCGTGGAACTACCGTGCGGCCGGTGCAAACCACAGCGGCAGGCGAAACTGAGCCTCCGCCTGCGCAGCTGCATCACAGCTGCTCCGCTTTATCCCAACCTCCGCCCAATGTCCCAAAACCCGGAAGCCAACTTATCGACTGCTGCGAGGTTCTGGATGAGTTGCAAAGCCTGGAGCAGCAGAGGCGCGAGTCCAACCGAAAAGTTTGTGCTCGGGGTCTGCTGGCAGGTTCGGAGGTCAGGGGTTTTCAGCAGAGGGTTTCCCAATTCCACAGAGCCGCTAAGCTGTCGGACGACTAAGTAGCAGGTGCGAGAGCATGCGAGAGCCTACTCGGTCATATGTGCAATGGTGTCGCCAGACCTCACCGACCACATCAGAAAGCCTCTTGAAGCTTTTAGAGGTGTGCGCATCTTGCGTGAAACGGCAGAGATGTGTTGCAACAGCTGAAATCACCCCCAGGCCTGATGGGATGCAATCTTACGTGTAAGCTTTAATGGCTTTTGAGAACTAGCTTTGCCTGGTGTTGGAGATTTGATTTGTCAGCGCTGGTGCATCAACCTGACAAGCATCCCAGGACCGTAGGATATCTTCCCTCGACCCCGACCATCAGCCAGCTGGAAGCTGAAGGCGCGGCACCTTCCGTCGCCTGGAGAGCGAGTTCGACGTCGTCGGCAAGGTGGTTTTGTGCGTGAGGGTTCACGGTGTCGAGTCCTTCAGCGCCTCGGGACGCTGAACTTTCAGACATGACGTTTGCGAGCACCGGGTTGGTAGACACAGGAACTTGCTAGACAGTCGTCGCGGCATCGACTACTGAGAGGTACCGTTGCCTCTAGGTTGTTCTTGTAAATGTTCGCACATTGGCTTCGCGATTGAGACCGGGAAATTGACAGACAGTTCGGAATGCTGTCGTCCCTCCATACCTCTCTCCCCATCCATCCATGCTTCTGCATGCATACATACACACGTACATACATGCAGTATATACATACGTGCAGGCCTACCTGCCTGCCTACCTACCTAC